GTATAGTAGGGGACTTGCCGGACATATCCATTTCTAGAAAACTAGGTGCCGGTCAGACACATGCTGTGGTAGGATACCATTAGGGGATTTTAGTGCAGATAAAGTCTGCCTAACTCATGAGGGGATCAGACGTCGATGAGGATAGAGTTGACGATGGTAGATTAACGCGTGCAAGATCAAGTAGGATCCCGTACGTGTTCAGGACCCTAGACGAGGGAGAAGAAAGACGGCTTCGTGCCGAACGCAGAGGCCGTGCTTTCGCAGCATCGAGAGAAGCAGCAAACCTTGCAGCTAGGGAACAAGCTGCAGCAGCAGCCATGACTTCTTCAGCAGCATCCTCCGCTGCAACTTCTGCTGCGTTCTCGTCTGGACCCCAGTTTGGAATACCAACAGGGTCCACGGGCACTTCCAGTTCAACAGGTTCTAAACAATCTACAAGTCAAATGGTGGGCTCGCAGTACAGCCCGTCGACTCCTCGCGAAAGGGAGATGAGCGAGCTCCAACAGGTCGAAAGGATCTGTGCACAGTTAGAGAAGGATCTGAAACAGGCTACCGATAGAGAAAAAGAGATAAATAATAGAACAGCCAGGCTTGAAACGTCAGAGTTTGAAAAGGCTGACTTGGAGGGCTTAGACGATTCAGGAATGAATGAGCCCATGAAAGTGTTGAGGAACAACATGCTGTCGCTGCATGCGCATGTGGACAACAGGTTGGACTTCATGCAGAGCACTTTGGACCAGATCGTGGACATCCTAACAAGGCCAGGATTTAGGCCACCAGCACAATCGCCGTTGCCGTTATCGGCGATGTCAGACCCTTTTCCAGTTCAAGCTGGTTCACAACCAAGTGGTACATATGCAGCAGTCTCACAGACTGTTGCATCTTCTTCTTCGGGTCCAGCGGTGGTTGCTACACCACCGCAACAACCTGTCTCTCAACAGGGACAGCAACAAGGTCAATGGTACCCCAAGACCCCAATGAAACCGCCTCTTGCCTTCTCAGGCGAAAGGAAGGACGAGGAACTCAACACATGGTTGAGGACGGTCCCGGTTGGGTGAAGGCCAAAAGGACCTTGCCAGAGGATGAAGTGGTAACTGCGGCATCTTACCTAGAGGGTAAGGCAAACAAATGGTTAGATGGGGTAGTTGTGAAAGCCGGGTACGGGCGACGCATGGCGGACTGGGCCAAGTCTTTGACTCTAGACCAATTCATGGAGATGGTAGAAGCTCGATGGCATAACCCACAGGAGGCGCAAAAGGCCATTGATGCCATAAATAAATTAGACCAGCGCAAGTTCCGGTCAGTTAGAGAGCTTACGACTACCGTTGAGAGCCTGATCCTCTTCCCGGGCATCAACTACAGTGACCAGTTCCTGTTAACTACTTTCATTAGATGTCTTCCAGAGAACATCAGGAACTTACTAGCCAGTGAGGCACGCACCGAGTACCACTCATGTGAGACATTGTCTAGGAAGGCTTTAGATTTGGAGGCCACGCTAGGCAATGCTCAACCCACCTCAAGAAATGACTCAAAGAAGAAGAAGAGTCCTCAGGAGTGGAAGAAGAAGGGGGCAAAGTTGATGATGGTTGAGTCTGATGGGACTCAAAACTGAGATTGATGAGCTCTCTGACCTGATGGACTACTCAGAGTATGACGGCGAGGAGGTAGCTGAGGGTAGCACCCTTGCCGCAGTAGTAAAGACTAAGGCAGGTGGCCGAGGGAAGGGCCAACCTAGGAGTCAAGGGAAGGCCGCCTCCAATCAGACCAAACAGTCTGAGTGGGTAAAGGCAGGTCTTGATCAAGACGTGTGGCGTGATCGCCGAATGCGTGGCGCTTGCATCAACTGCGGAGAATACGGACACACGCAGTGGAAGTGTCAGAACGCTAATATTACGTAAAAGGTTGCTCCAAAAGTAGGGACAACCTATTCCCAGGCTTCTAGCTCGGGAAACGCGTAGGGCCAGTGGAAGTAGTAGCGGCTTCTACTCAAGATGAAGTGGGATTGATACCGTCCTCACTTCATGACAAGGCCGAAGCTAATGACTCCTTAGTCACCCCGCAGACACAACTAGACCAAACTATGCTCTGTACGTTAGATGTGTCTGAGGCCTTAGAAGACTTAGAAGGCGATTGGTCAAACATGGACCCTCGCGAGTCTTGGGTGGCGCTAAAGAAGGGTCCTGGAGGGGAACATTTCGTGGTGGAAGTGGATGTAGGAGGCCGCAAATGTGGAGCCTTCATAGACAACGGATCCACGCGAAATTACATAAGTCGCGATTTTTTGGAAAGGCTGCACCTACAAGACCGGGTACGGCACCTTAGTAGACCAGTAACATCTACTTTGGCCAACAAAGAGCGCATGATTGTCAAAGACTACAGCAAGGACGTAGTCTGTACCTTCTCCTATGGAGGAGGAGAGCTTAACCATAAAATCTCGTTCTTGGTTAGCGACGACCTGCCATTCGAAATGTTGTTAGGCATGTACTACCTCGAAGTTGCTAAGCCCCAGTTCGACTGGGATAAGAAGGTGCTTAAGCATAAGTTGCCCAATGGCCGAACTGTCAGATTGACTAAGTTCAAGGCCATCAGTATTGTAGATAGCTATGGCTGCTTGTGTGCATTAGAGTTCTATAACTACTACAAGCAAAACCAAGGGGAAGGTATGTACCTCGTTTACGTCTCTGAGAAGGGGAGGCCGTTAAAACACCCCCAGAGATAGAACACGTCGTTGCTAAGTTCCCCGATCTGTTCGAGGAGCCCACAGGAGTTGTTGATAGGGAAGTCGTCCATGCTATAGAAATCATTCCAGGGAGTAAGACCCCAAAGGGAAGGATCTATAGGATGGCCCCTGCCGAGTTAGATGAACTTCGGAAGCAACTCAAGGAGTTGACAGAGAAGGGTTGGATTCAGCCTAGTACTTCCCCTTACGGATCACCCGTTCTATTCGTACCGAAGAAGGGGGGTACTTTGAGGATGTGCATTGATTATAGGGGCCTCAATGCCATCACGGTGAAAAACGCAGAGCCTCTACCTCGGATAGACGACCTATTGGATAGGGTGCAGGGATGCAAGTACTATACAAAGATAGACTTGAAATCCGGATATCACCAGATCGCAATAAGACCTGAGGACCAACACAAGACAACTTTTCAGACTAGATATGGTCTGTATGAGTTTGTAGTGATGCCTTTCGGTCTTTGTAATGCGCCGGGTACGTTCCAGCACGCAATGAATCGGATCTTCCATGACCATTTAGATAAGTTTGTCGTGGTCTACTTAGACGACATTCTGATATTTAGTAAGTCTGCCGAGGAGCACGCACAGCATGTTGAGACCGTACTCTCACTCCTACAACAGCACAAGTATAAGGTCAACTTAGAGAAGTGCGAGTTTGGCTGCACTAAGATACTATACTTGGGTCATGAAGTATCCGCGGAAGGGATTAGGCCGGAAGATGCGAAGGTGGCTAGTATTCGAGATTGGCCACGACCTCAGACAGTCACTGAGGTCAGATCTTTCTTAGGAATGTGCGGCTACTATAGGAACTTCGGAAAGAACTAGTCGCCTCTCCTTTGACAGATCTAACTCGACTTGACACGTCGTGGGACTGGAATGATGAGTGCGAAGGTGCTTTCAAGCGATTGAAGCATGCACTCATGAATCATGAAGTTCTCATGGTTCCCGATCTGCAGAAGCCGTTCATAGTAACCACTGACGCAAGCCAATATGGCATTGGCGCAGTGCTGGCTCAGCAGGATGGGAAAAAGTTGAGACCGATTGAGTACATGAGTAAGAAAATGCCATCGAAGAAGTTGGCTAAGTCCACCTACGAAAGGGAACTCTATGCTCTCTACAAGGTATTTGTCCATTGGAGACACTTCCTTTTGGGAAGGTTCTTCTATCTGAGGACTGATCATCAGACCCTCAAATGGATCAAGACTCAACCGGCTCTTTCTGATGCACTCAAGCGATGGATTGAAGTCATAGACCAATACGACTTCAAGCTTGAGTACCTGAAGGGAGAGTATAACAAGGTTGCAGACGCGCTATCCCGTAGAGCAGACTACCTAGGTGCGCTAGTTTCTGACTTTGGCATATCTGAAGAAGTAACTCAATCATTGGTGGGAGCCTATCATGAAGACCCTGTCATGATGGACATCATCCGCAAACTTCAGGTGAAAGACAAGGCCACAGAAAGTGAGTTTGTGATGGTGGATGGGCTAATCTATCTTGATAAGGCCGGAGTAAAGAGATTGGTAGTTCCATCTAGTGAACAGTTTCGTAGTTTATTTTTAGGCGAATGTCATGACGCAACTGGGCACTTTGGCTACAAGAAAACGAGTGCTAACTTAGTACAGCGATTTTGGTGGCCCAGAATGTTAGATGACGCAAAGAAATATGTTGAGACCTGTCAGGTCTGTCAGCGGGACAAACCGCAAACTCACGCACCGCTTGGGTTATTGAAGCCTTTACCTATTCCTGATGGTGCAGGATTGAGTGTTTCCATGGATTTCATGGACACTCTTGTGACCAGCAAGAGTGGTAAGAGGCACATTTTCGTCATCATTGACCGATTCACCAAATACGCTAGACTAATTCCAATGCCAGAGACAGGCAGGACAGAATACGTCATCAAGTTGTTCAAGGACAACTTGGTAAGGGACTTTGGTTTACCAAAGACCATCATTAGTGACCGAGACGTCCGATTCACAAGTGAGCTGTGGAAGAAGACTGCGGAACAGATGGGCAGTCAACTTCAGATGACTTAAGGGAATCATCCCGAAGCCAACGGTCAGGCCGAACAAATGAATAGAGTTGTACATCATTTGCTGAGGCATTACATCAAGCCCAACCAGGACGACTGGGATGAGCAGTTACCTCTCATCGCCAGCCTGTACAACAACGCTATGCATAGTAGTACCGACGTTAGTCCTAACCAGCTGCACTTAGGATGAAAGCCTAGATCAGCATTAGACGTCCTCCTACCTGAAAACCGACCCGCTGCAACTCCAGGCACACTTGAATACGGTGTGCAATATGAGAAGTTGCTGCAAGACGCTGTTGAACATATGAAGAAAGCTCAGCAAGCCATGATTGCTTCTGAGAATCAACATCGCAAACAATCCACATTTCAGGTAGGGGAACGTGTTTGGGTCAAGGCTAGTGAGTTAGGACAGGAATTCGGAATATCTCGCAAACTGATGCCTCAGTACTTTGGTCCCTGGGAAGTCTTGGATGTAGTGGGAGATGAGTTGGATGGTCCCACCGATGTCATTCGTGTCCCTGGACACCTACGCACTCACCCAGTTTTTCATGCCTCAAAGCTTGCACCTTTCGCTAAGACTGATCAATTCCCTTCCAGGAGATCGATGCTGCCCCCAACCATGGATGGACAAGTCGACATCGACGACATTGTGGACCATAGGGATATGCCTGTTCAGAAGCCGTTGGGTCGAGGAAGACCTCCTAAACCCAAGAGAGAGTACTGGATCAGATTCAGGCATCATACGGATCCTAAAGAAGATCGGTGGTTTACTCGGGAGGAACTGATGGAAACAGCTCCTCAGGTGGTGGCAGATTATGAACGGAAGCTAAAAGGGAAGGCACCTGCGAAGTAAGCATCTCAGCGGACTTTCGAAGCTAAGGGGGATGGAATGTGAGGATTAAGCCCTCAAGTAGGGACCTTGCCATGACGTACATGTTCTGGGCTAAGGCCCCAGCAAGCCTAGTGCCCGCCCTAAGTGAAGG